TTTGTATTAAATAGGGGAACTTGTCGGCAAATAAAATGGTTTCGCAGACCCAAATTGATGTAATTTGTTTTCCTAGTTTATTTGATTGAGTCTTATCCTCAAGTCTTGTGTTTATCTCTCGGGATAGATACAGGATTTGAGGTAGAGGATTTGAGGTAGAGTGTAGAGTGTTCTTTCATTTAAACTACGAAAAATATGAGGTCAGTTTGATTTCATATTTTTCTAAAATTATATATATATATACGTAAATTGAAACTTCCTTCCGAAGCGGGCGATGGGATTTTAATTATGGCTGCCGACAGCTTCTTACGGGCGACCTCTCCCAAACAACCTTTCTTTTTTTTTTTTTTTTGTGCCGACACACACCCCAACAAAATGGAGTCTTTAAACATAAGCACCAACACCTTATCGAAATCACACGAACTCTTCTATTAATAGCTCATCTACCCCTCAAATTCTGGAAAGCTGCGCTCATGACAGCCACTTATCTCATTAATTACATGCCCCTTCTAAAACTACCTCCCTAAAGACCCCTCATGAACTTCTCTATAGCTCACCACCCACCTACTCTCATCCAAGAATTTTTGGTTGCCTGTGTTTTCTCTGGCAAAAACCACTAGCCCCAAACAAACTTTCACCCAGAGCTCCACCATATATCTTCATTGGATACTCTCTCCCTCACACAAAGGCTACTATTACTACAACCCACAAACTCATCTTACCATTCTCTCTCGCCGTGTCGTCTTTAATGAACAAAATTTTCCCTTTCAAACCATCAACTCTCAGTCTCCACCATCAAACATCTCTCCTCCCATAATTCCTTCTCTTCTCACTCCAGCATCCACACTTCCTCCAACAACTACACCGTCCACGTCAAGTACATACATACCCACACTCGCTCTGCCTCCCTCTTCCTCCCTACGCTCTGCAAACCTTTAACCCGAACCTACTCTACCTCCTCTCACCAAACCAATCCCCCCAACTGCTCCTGTGCATTCCATGACAACCAGATCCAAAACCGGGTCACTCAAACCCAAGCAAATACTCAACCTTACCATCTTTGTCTCCAACAGTGTTGCTCCAACCTCTTATGCTCAAGCTGTCAAACATAGTCATTGGAGGAAAGCTATGCCTTTAGAATTTCAAGCTCTTTATGAGCAAGGCACTTGGATCTTGGTAGATCCCCCACGCCACCAAAACATCATCTGCTGCAAATGAACCTATTGAACTAAGTACAATTCAAATGGAATGATAGCCAAGTACAAGGCTCGTCTCGTTGCCCAAGGCTTCAAACAATAAGAGGGCATAAACTAATTCGCTACATTCAGCCTAGTGCCAAGCTACCCACAATTCATATCCTTCTCACCATGGCTCTTCGAAACAAGTGGCAAATCCACCAACTTAATGTCAATAATGCCTTCCTCCAAGGACCATTGTAAGAAACCATCTATATGTCCCAACAACCTCAAGGATTTTGTGATCAACAATACCCCCATAAAGTATGTTTGCTGAAAAAGGCTCTCTACAACCTCAAGCAAGTGCCCCGACAGTGGTATCGCACCCTCATCACTCACCTCCAAGCACGAAAGTTTCGCATCAACACAGTCGATGAGGGGTGTAAACGAGCCGAACACGAGCTGAGCTTGGCTCAAAAAGTGTGTCTGTGTTCGGCTCGTTTGCTTAACGAGTCGAACACAAGCTGTTCACGAACAAAAAGTCTTTTGAACAACCCTAATCATGTCGCCATAAGACAATAAAGGTTTGAGCAAGATTTAAAAATTATTATTTATATTAAAACATCATTTGAATCTAATTTAATAATTTTTATTTTATTTTCTTAATCAATATTTTAATTGATTATAAATCTTTGTAGCCTTGCAGTCAATTAGATTTTTAAACGAGCCAAAACGAGTCGAACACGAACTAACACATCTTAAGTTCGTGTTCGGCTCGTTAACTTATCGAACGAAATTAACGAGCCGAACACGAGCTTCTTAACGAGCCGAACACGAGTTGTTCGCAAACAACGAGCCGTTTTGACAGCCCTACGTCGATCCATCCTTCCTCGTCTACCAGCACTCATCAGTTACTCTCTACTTTATGTTGACGACATCCTGATCTCATGTAACGATCAAAACGTCATCAATAAACTTACCCTTTCCAAACTACATTCAAAATCAAAGCCTTCAGTTCGGTTAATACATTCCTTGGCATCAATATTCAAACCACTGTTCATGGTTATCATCTTCCTCAAACTCCTTGCATTACATCCATCCTACAACAAGTTGATAAGCTATCTTGCAAACCAGTTAAAACCCCCTTGCCTCACAAACTACAACCCGGCCCTAAATCTTTTCATGCGCTTCCCGATCCCACCCACTATTGTCAACTTGCCAGCTCACTTTGATACTTACCATTAGTCGACCCGACATATGCCAACAAATGCACAACCCATTTCTCTGTCATTTTCAAATCCTCAAGCGCCACCTCCGCTATCTACAAAGAACCTTGCATTTTGGTCTCCCACTTGTCAAGGGTGACCTTCACCTTGCTTGCTACTCAGATTCTAAACCGATTGACGATCTACTACAGATATTTGCAGTTTTCTTAATAATAATCCCGATCCCACCCACTATTGTCAACTTGTCAGCTCACTCTGATACTTGCCATTACTCGACCCGACATATGCCAACAAATGCACAACCCATTTTTCTATCATTTTCAAATCCTCAAGCGCCACCTCCGCTATCTACAAGGAACCTTGCATTTTGGTCTCCCACTTCTCAAGGGTGATCTTCACCTTACCTGCTACTCAGATTTTAATTGGACCAAGTATTCCACCAATCGACGATCTACTACAGGTATTTACACTTTTCTTAATAATAATCTCATAGATTGGGCAATTAATGTCAGAAGACCGTAGCACGTTCCTCCACCAAAACTGAATATTGTGCCTTAGTTGCTGCTACCATTGACATCATATAGCTTCTTCGACTACGTCAAGAGTTTCAAATCTCCCAACACTCCAACAACCATCTACTGTGACAATACTTCCGCTATCGCCATAGAACTTAATCCAGTATTCCCTACCCACGCCAAACATGAGGAAATCAACTACCACTTCATACGAGATCACATCTCTTCCGACAACATTCAGATTTCACACATCAGCTCTCACGATCAGATAGCCGATATTTTCACCAAAAATCACACCGCCACTCAATTCAGCAGACTCAAATGCAAACTCAAGATCAGTCCATCTGATTGCAAGTTTCAGGGGAAGTAACAGCACTATCCTACATAATTACCACTGCATTTCTCGAGTACTACTGTAACTACCTTCTGACAACAGGAACTTCTGCTTCACTACTTGCAATATCATGATTCTCCACCTCTTTAATTATATGCCTTCAGTCAAGTGTCAACTTAACCTTACACAGAATTCTCCCTGTATATATACAAGCACTTACTATTTAGATGGGTGTTGAATGGAATGTCTATTAGCTAATTTGCATATTTCTTCCTTTGTTTCCTGTACTGTAAGCAGCATAAGTAGCTTTTCTTTGATAGAGTTGATGTGTAGAACATCTCACTCAATCCTTATAGAGGGTTCTAATGGCCCAAAAAGTGTTTCCTCAGCTCTCCCCAAAATCTCATATTTATAGGAGTATCTGGGGTCACAAATGCCACAATAAAGACTATATAATAAACAATAAACAAATTAATAAAATACAAGATAAGAGCTGTATAGCCGACATAGTAGATATCAAGAAAGATTTATCTTGCTCCTTGGATGCTTTAAAGTTGTATATACTCTTAAGCCCATTGCCATTGTGCTCACCTTATCATCACTCAAACATTAATAATAGTTTTTATACCTTAAAAAAATAAAAACTGCTTATATATATGGCAAGCAAGCAAAACCCTATACTCATGGAATCCAAGTTGGAGCATCATTGCACTTCTAGTTAGAAACCAAGAAAACTAATAAATTAATGCAATAATGAGGATTAACCACAAATGCATCGACACTAATTTCATTACACAAAGTGAAAAAAAATTAGGGTTAAATGCAAAATTCTGTTTTTTTAGCAGGCGGTGCTCAATTCTATACAAAACAGAAAATCAAAACATCTCTTCAATCCGCTAAAGATGCAAGTCGGGGTATGATTTCCAGACAACACCGTATCAATATAAAAAAAACCACAGCAATCAATTGAAAGCAGCAGCTCACCAGCCCTTCCCTGAAATGTCTCTGAATAACATCGGAAGCGACTTCGTCGAAATAATGCTTAACCCATGTGATGGCGGTAACCCTCCGGCGAAAGAAGCTTCCATGGAGGACGTTTTCAGGGGACCTCTTTCGTCCGGGAAGAGGGTCGACGTTGTCCGGTGGGAACGGAGGGAGAAAAAGCAGTTGTCGAGGTTTCGGCTCCTTGGGGGAACCTAGTCGGGCCAAGTTGTTGGACACACGGATTATAGGCTGAGCAACTGTGTCGGCCGGAGGAGTCACCCTCGAAAATCGGCGGGCGAAAGTCGCCGCCGGCGGTGGGAGGCGGCGGCACCGGCACCGGAACATGGCTCGGTGACTTCGGTCTTTTCAGCCCTGCGGAGCTCACGTGTTCGGTCGACCGGGCGGGAGGAATGGTTAATGAGCCGGGTATAGTTATGGTATTATTTAATTTTAACTAGGATAATTAGAATAGGTTTTTTTTTTCTACTATATTGTGCAGTTTGAATGCTCACTCATCAAGGAATTGTCACTCATCAAGGAATTGTCACTTTGGTCCAGTGGCATTGTTGTTTTATCCTGATGGTGTAACTTCTGATGAGGTCACCCATCCTAGTATTGGTTTAAGACGAGCACAATAACTTTAGAGTTTTTAAATAAATTTCACTTGTAAATTGAAAGAAGTCTTGATGTTTAAGAATTCAGATTCAATCTACTTGGAGGATTTCACAGTCTCCCCCACTTAAACACTTGTTATCATCGTCAGTGCTCTATATCATAATTATCTACCAGACAAATAAAATTCTAAAGGTGGCCCTACAGATTTAAGTGATGACTGCTATCATATAGCATTTGCATCTAGAGTTCAATAAGCGGCCACATGATGAAGCACTTTGTTCTGTATGACACTTAATTTTCATCTTATGGCTAGTGTAACACTCTAATACCATATGTGACGATTTGAACTCTCACCCATCAAGTTATTATCTGTTTTGGTCTAGCAGTCTCACGGTTTTGTCACATTGGTGTAATTTTCCAATAGATCACCCATCCTATGAGTATCAGGATGGGCATGCTTAACATTGGAGTTTCTAATGAAATTCCATTGCTATACCAAAATGTGTCTTGATGTTCAAGAGTTCAATTTCATTCTACTTTGGAGGTTTCATAATCTCCCCCACTTAAATACCCAATGTCATGTCATTAGTCTATACCCAGAACCATTGACTAAACAGATGGGACTCTAGAAATGACCCCTACATATTCATGGCACTTAGTTTCCATCTGCCAACAATTTTAATGCTCTGATAGCATTTGTGACAGCTCAAACTCTTACACATCAAGGTTTTGTCTGATTTGGCCTAATGGCCTCACAATTTTACCTCATTGGTGTAACTTCCCTAAGAGTCACACATCCTATGAGTGCTCCGAGCAAGCATGCTTAACTTAGGAGTTTCTGATGAAATTTCATCGTTATCTCATTAGGTGCCTCGATGTTTAGAGTTTGACTTCAATCTACTTAAGGGGTTTCACATGTCTAATATAAATTGCTCTTATTTGAGAAACTAAAAGGGATAAAATTAAATAATATTGTTACTAAGTTCTCTCTTTTGGAGGAATTACTTTTTTTATTATTTTAGGATTTGTTGAAGTTTTTGAATTATTGTTTAACAACATTAAAGAAGTGGGTTCATATTAATTATGCTCTTGTTGAGAATCCTCCCCCTCAATCGTCACATCTTCTCTCAGTGCTTATCCAAAATCCCATTGATTTTTCCACTTCTTCCACTATTTCTCAATCTGCAATCATTCAACTATCACTTAGCCATCTTCGCAAGATCCAATCACCTCCCTATCCTTATCAAAACTCCATTTCACATGTAAATCCATGCAAGATTCCATTGATCTTACTCTAGACTTCCATTATTTTCCATGTTTATTGTTTTTTGTCATCATCTCAAGGTCACTAATCATGCCATTCTTTGCTTATTTTGAGGGTTTCAGAGAGAGGCAAGAAGTGCATGAGGACAACAGGGTTTAAAGACGGAATGTGGAGATGATAGTTTGGTTAAAGTAGAGGAAGTCATCGCTTTCCTAAGAATACCTCATAAATGTCTATCGACGGTGGTGGATCTAATAACAGCTTAATAATTACGAAGCTATCCTCTAAGACAGCAACCCTCTAGTTGATGACCACCATACCTAAACCACTAAACTCATAAGGTTTCCCTAAGTCATTCAAATCTATAGGAACTCCACTTGATTTTCAATATGTTGGTCTGAATCAACCCAACTAAATTTTGAGGATTTTAAACCAAGTATATGAGATTATAAGGAGTCAAGAAATAGTTCAATTTCTAATTAGAGTGGGTCCAAAAACTAGTCATCCAAGAGAGTCATTGAAAATCCAGAGACTAGATCCTAAATTATAAAGAAAGAAACATATCTCATAAAATGAGACCAATAATATCCTCCAAGAAGTTCATGTTGGGGAGTGTGGGAGTCATTTTGAAGGAAAAACACTCGCATTTCAGATTTAATGACATGTATATTTTTGGTCAAACTTACTAAGGATGCAGAAGACTATTTTTGAAGGTGCATACAATGTCAGAAATATGACCCTCTAAGACATCAACCAACCCAAAAGCTTCATCTGGTCATTAACCCATAGACTTTCGTTGTATGGGGGCTCGACATCCTAGGAATTTTTCCCCGTATAAGGCAACACAAGTTTTTACTCGAGGTCGTCGATTATTTCTCCAAGTGGATAAAAGTGAAGCCTCTCACCCACATAACGATGGAAGTGGTCTGAAATTTTATCTAGATCAACTTTATCTGTTAGTATGGTATGTCACTCATCATCATCATGGATAATTTTTTGCATCATTTTTTAATGTCGCGGGCATAGGATATCCATTTCAATAACCATAGGGTATGCTTCACACACATAAGACTCCTCAAGGCTCAAGAAAACCAACTTCGATCCTCTGACACATGTCCAAGTTCATTTTGCCAAGCATTGGCTATCAATGAGATGAGGGTCAGTCGATATTACATTGATGAGACAACCCCCATTGAAAAAGCTTTATTCGGCGCAACACGAATATATCAGACCCTAAATTAGCTTACTCGTGAAGAATTATCATATAGATGAATTCGGATGGCAAAACGAACAACGTAAATGAGTTTGAAACATCATTTTTCAGTTAGGGAGGGCCTTCTAGGTCTTACCACATGATTTAAATCACCATAAACAGTAAATAGCCCCCAAATGGGCTAGGTGTGAACATGCTCACATGGGGGAGTAACCACGCCCAGGAGTGGACACACCCCATTTTTGGTGTAGCCGCATAACACTCTTCAGTCATTTTTTATTTTTTATTCAGCTCATTGCATGGTCCCTCGTTTTTCCATTCGGATGTCATCCGACAATCGGGATAAGTCGTTAGACTAGTCATAAGCCAGAAATGGTCTCATAGCTAACTTAGGCACTTTCCAAAAGAGGCAAATGGTCATTTAAACCTGAATATCCTTCTTGTGGGGGAGATCTTGGGAGATATCACGCTCATTTCACTTAGGGAGAGCCAAGAATGATCACAAATAGTTGGGGGAGAGTTTTCAAGAGTTCTTGGAGAGCTTCTTAACCCATCTTCTTTTTCCTCTTCGTTGTTTCTTTCTTCTTTCTCCTCTCACTTTTCTTTCTCGGTCACCTTCCTGTTCCGATAAACAAAGAAGAGAGATAGAGAACTTGAGGAGCGATCACACGAGTGCATTGAGAGTTTCAGAGAGTTCGTTTCTCCATTATTCTTCTTCTTCTTCTTCCTGTGCCCACTTTCCTTCCTTCTTCTTCTCACATTTTCATTATTGGTCGTCGTCTTGATCCAAAAAAAAAAACAGAGAGGAAGAACAAAGCATGGTTTTGTGCTGGCACCAAAAAACTTCTTGCGATGAGAGCTTCATCACCCGAGGGAAGCAAAGATCGGTAATTGGAGCATCGTCGGAATATCTTCATGCGAAGAGAGCTTCTTCTCATGCAATGATTGGACTTCGATCAACCAACATATACCTCCTTAACATTCGCATTTTCTTTTTTAGACAACCCTATGATTAGATTTTGCTAGGTGTTGTGGATTTGGACGCCTACATGAGGAGAGTATGACCGACCAGCCGATATCATCTAGCTCAATCGATCGCCCAGTATCGAACGGTCCAATTGATCAAAAAAAATCGGTTGACCTGATCATACACCTTTTGATTGACGATTTTTGTGGTGCTGTGAGTTGGTCGCCCAAGCTAAGAAAATTGGTCGGCAGACACTAAAAGGCACGATCATATGCCTATTAATTTTCTAATTTTGTCTTAAAGAAATCTGTAGGTTATGACTTGACATTCATGGCCAAATCTCTACCAAAGCCAAGAGTGTTTCCTTGCAGATCCTTAGCTCCAACTTGAGCGGGTCGTAATCCCAATTTCCCACGGTCGTAACGGTAAATGATCCTTTGTGGAGGAACTGAAACACTACACTTGCAAAACGGGAAAAACTTTGTAGCTTGCCTGTTTTGGAAGAGGAAGAGAATCATTCCATCGCGCAATCAAGAGGAAAATTGCCCCATACTTGCTCACTACAGTTGGAGGCGGTTAAGCCGCATATCTACACTTGAAAACCATAGGTTTTCATGTGAGGTTGATAGGATGAGTTCAACGAGTCATCAAAGTGTTTCGACGGACACAACCCAATCAGCTATTAACTCTGGTTCGATCGGACACCCTAGTCGGATCGATAATTCACTTTGGTTTGATCGGCTACCATGACCATTCACTGATCGACTGCTCTGGTCTGATTGCTAATTCATTTTGGTTTGATTGGTCGTCCCGACTCGATCGACCATTTACTTTGGTTTGATTAACTGTCATGGTCTGATTGCTAATTCACTTTAGTTTGATTGGCTGACCTGGTCCGATCGCCAATTCACTTTGATTCGATCAGTCGTCCCGACCTGATCGACTATTCATTTTGGTGCAATTGGTCTCCCCAGTTTGATTGCAAATTCACTTTGGTTTAATCGTCCGCTTTGAGCAAACCACCAATTCACTTGGTTTGATCGACTGCCCCGTCACAACCGACCATTCACTTTGGTTTGATCGGCAACCATAGTTCAATCACCAATTCACTTTGGTTCGATCAGCTTTCCCAGTCAGATCACCAATTCACTTTTGTCGATTGGTCATCCTGATCCGATCGACTATTTACTTTATTTAATTGGTCACTCCGGTACAATTGCTAATTCACTTTGGTTCGATTAGTCGCATCGGTTCGATCCTCAGTTCACTTTGGTTAGATCGAATGCCCGCATTCCGATTGCTAATTCACTTTTGTTTGATCAGCCACCCCGCCCCGATCACTAATTCACTTTGGTTCGATCGGTCACCCTAGCCCAATCGACCATTCACTTTGGTTTGATATACAACCCCGACCAACTTCGTTCGACCAATGTATGCTTGTTTACATATTTGCATCATGTCTACTTGATATGTTTGCCTTTTATGTTATTACATGTAGCATGTTTTGATGTTTCTTTGAGCATCCATGTGTGGGGTGTCTCTTTGAGCACTCCCACTTGTGGTACCTCGTTGAGCACCCACACTTGCAAGTGTTTTCCCTCACGTAGGTAACTATATGCATGAGGATAGACACTGACTCAAGTGTGGAGGTGGCTTATATGAGCCACTCACCTCGCTTCCTACGACACCGCCTAGAGTGTCGTAGATATTTCATATTATGTTAAGTACGAGTCATGCATCTTAGCCCCTTAACACATACAACACGCAATATATGTTCACTTAGATGTGTGATTCTCACTTGTAAAGATCATATCACTTAGTCTGTTTCACACTTATCATTCTTGTGTGTTTGTTATTTGAGTTTCATTTGTATGTTATATGCTTAAAATCTATCATATGTCTATCGCATGTCCTATGCTTTGCTTTCCTCGTATGTTTGTTGCATATCATGTATGTTTGCATGTATGCTCGGTGAGTGCCTCTCATGTAATGTGTAAATCCTCATTTTAGGTATCCTTTTACTCAATTTAAATTCTCTCGCAGTCAGTATCTGCTTGTTGCATGGCGCCTCTGGTCCCCCGGGCAGGTGTAATTCATTTCCATATGTAGTTTGTTTTACCGATACATCTCATTTATGTGTGTCGTGTTGCATGTAGAAATCATTGCATTCATTCTTGTGATATGTGATTTTCCCTTTGGGGCGCTCGTTGTGATTGTTTTGTGCTTCGGTCGAACAATCACAATGTGAGTTTTTTGCATGTTTGTTTGCTTGTCCATTTGCCTTGATGGCTTATCCTACTCATTAGGAGAGTGACCAGTTTGTTAGTCGTGATACTCAAAAGAGCGTTGCTCACGAGTATATCTCGGCAAGCAATGTGAGTTTTTGTATCACGAGCAACAAAAAGTACGACCGTGCTATAGATCCAAGGACTCTAAAATACGTCACATGCATCACAGACTCACATTTTATGGTTCACTATTTTAAAGTATAAAAAATGGATATTTTGTTATTGTAAGTATCATCCACCTTACTTTAAAATTTATATATGTTATGATATATATGAGACCACTTCTTTTAATTGTCACCCTTTTCTTGTGACGTGTTTTCGATCCCTTAGATCTTTAAAATGGAGCAGGTGTGGCGATCCGGTCAAAGTCATACAATAATCAGAGACTTTATCGTGAACACTTAGATGCTGGTTAGGACAACTTTTTGTTAAATGATGCGTTAAGCGAAGATTAGGATACTAGGTACTATTTTTGATGCCTTTGACTATAGTTCGATGCTAGCTTGTTTGTTCTAACCAAGCATCACTTTTTTACTTTTGGTGTGCTTGTGTGTGCTAATTTTTAATATGCATGATAGTATATTAGGCCAGTCTTCTACATGGAGTCAGATATATATATATATATATATATATATATATATGCAAACACAAATGTACAGTAAAAAAGAGGAACATGTGATGTACATGCTGACTTTTGCTTGCAGGTGTTGCTTAGGTTCCTCACTAGGCATGACTCTGACACCTTGCATGCATATACATTTTAGTGCTGACATATTTTCGTGTAAGTCGAGTCCATTTATTTATTTTCATATGTACTTTTTAGAGCTTCCATATTAGGATTGATTAGCTCACTGCATCATATTGTATGTCTTGATGAGAAGCCCATGTGCTTCTCCAACCGACTGACTCAACCTAGATTTTTAGTTAGTTGGTTGTTTATTCCATTTAGGGTGTTAGAAGGCTCCTGACCCAGACGTGTGTAAGTCATTTTTTTTGGAGCATTTCCAACTTTGTAGCTAAACCTCCATTTGTATCCCTTTCCTTTGGCATCATTATCATTTTGACGGTTATGAGTCTCACCTCTTAGAGCTCCACTTGATTGTCATAGAATAGAGTTTTGTTCATTTGACCTAATGGCTACAGATGTCCCCGTGGACCACGCAATGTGCAAATTGCTAATTGAGAATCTCTAGACGTGTTGGGTCAATTACCTTCACGATCAGGTAGACTTAGAGTTCTAGTGGCTTGAGACGACGGGTCTGTGGTACCCTGACCCAGCTTCCTCTACGTTTTAGAATTACTATATCATTCATTTGTTGAGTCCCTTTGAGCCTTGTCATGCTCTGCGACTTCGTTGATGTTTTCTTGATGTCCCCTGTTGCCGATAGACAAGATGCCCGTTTGAAATACAATGATTCACCCTCTATAATTGTAACATTCACACCCTTTTGTATATAAATAGGGGTCATTTCGTAGTAAAAGGTTACGCTTTTCACAATTTTTTCTTATGTTTAAGTTTCATCCTGCTACGCTCTATTGCTTGATGTGTTTTCTGGTCACTTTTGGATTCAACAAGTCTGGATCTAGAATTACATTCGAACAATGCAAATAATACAACCAATACAACACATACAACGAGTACAACGCCGAACTCATATTTTTTACAGCGTCCGAATGTAATTCTACATCTAGACTTCACACGAAATATTTTGTTGTCTAGGAGAGGGACAAAATTGTTGTCTGCGTGTCAATAAGAAGATAATGTCACGAAGTATCACAATGTAACCTGAAATTTATTGATTTTGAATGCATAAAAAATAAAGAGATGTTGGACTATAAATTTCTCAATAAATTAAACATAAAAAAAATATTTTTAGGCAAGCAAAATGCATAAATTTTCCGAATCCCTACATTCCAAATACTCAAAATTCTTCAAATTAAATAACCCATTATATATTCTATTTTGTTAAATATATTATTGAAACATTTATAAACCACATAACCTCAAAATTGATAATAACTTGCAACCATATAATCTATTAAATTTTTAAGCACAGCCTATGAAAAAATTATAAGCTAAATTTACATTTACATATTTAGCACCATGATTTTGAATGCATAAAAAATAAAGAGATGTTGGATTATAAATTTCTCAATAAATTAAACATAAAAAAAATGTTTTTAGGCAAGCAAAATGCATAAATTTTCCGAATCCCTACATTCCAAATACTCAAAATTCTTCAAATTAAATAACCCATTATATATTCTATTTTGTTAAATATATAATTGAAACATTTATAAACCACATAACATCAAAATTGACAATAACTTGCAACCATATAATCTATTAAATTTTTATGCACAGCCTATGAAAAAAATATAAGCAATATTTACATGCATACCACCCATTACCTACTTATTTACACATTTTTGCACCTTAACCCATTATATATTCTATTTTGTTAAATATATTATTGAAACATTTATAAACCACATAACCTCAAAATTGATAATAACTTGCAACCATATAATCTATTAAATTTTTAAGCACAGCCTATGAAAAAATTATAAGCTAAATTTACATTTACATATTTAGCACCAAAATCTTACCTCTTATATTTATACCATATAAATCTTATATATCGCATAAAAAATGCATCAATTTTAATAAAAAAAAAGTAAAAAAATATATATTTTTAAGATGGCAACTAACAAGCACGTGCAAATTGTAATTTAGGTATTTATGTAAATCTTCCAAATTATAAAAATACATTTGAAATCTATTATTAAAAAAGTGTCAAATTTACATGCATGCCACACAATTCTTATGTATCACCCAAACTTTAATATTTACACTTAATAACAATTTTGCATCATAAATGAGAATATATATTTCACCTTTAAAAAATAGTGGTGATATATTGATGTAATATTTAAAATTAGTGCTTTATGAATAGTTAAATGCCACATATGTAAATACATAAGAATTATGCGGCATGTCTGTAAATGGCCTAAAAAAAAGTCTAATTTACAATGGAGAAGAAAAATGGCTGCAGAAGTAGAGAACGGTTCGGTTGTCGTAGGGTCATCTCCCTTCTCTTCTACTCCAATTCCTGCTTCTGATAGTCCTATCCCACCTTCTGTCTCTACCAAAACTCAACCAAGCACCTTAAATGGCCAAATCCACCTCCCCTTTCCTCCACCACTCCACCACCACCGGAACCACCGCACACATGAAGCAGCTACTCTATCGCCGGAGCTCATCTGAAAAATCCCACCTTTACCATCAACTCCTTAAGAAATACTACCGCTGGGTCCTCTGGTTCGCTCTCTCCCTCTCCCTCTTCCTCTCCTCCTCCACCCCCTCCTTCCTGCCTTCCCCCATCTCCCGTCGTTCGCTCTCCCAAACGCGCACCTCCTCCTCCCCGTCCTCCGCTCCCCTCTCTCTCAAGATCTACGTCTACGACCTCCCGCCGGAGTTCAATCGAGCATGGCTCACGAACCCTCGCTGTTCATCCCACCTCTTCGCCGCAGAGGTCGCTTTCCACGAGGCCCTCCTCCACTCCTCTGTTCGCGCCATTAATCCTTTTGAGGCCGACTATTTCTTCGTCCCAGTATATGTCTCCTGCAACTTCTCAACAATCAACGGTTTCCCCTCCCTCCACCATGCTCGTCCTCTCCTTTCCTCCGCCGTCAACCTCATCTCCATGAACTTCCCTCCCCTTCTGGAACCGCTCTAACGGCGCCGATCACATCTTCGTTGCCTCCCACGACTATGGTGCTTGCTTCCACGCCATGGTAACCCCCTTTTTCCAAATAAAAATATGATTTTTATTCCTCTACATACTGCAAAACAGGATATTTTCTTGTTTGTTTCTGGAATTCCGATCTTGCGATCCTCTTTTGTCTGAAACAGGAGGATGTGGCGATCGCCGATGGGATACCGGAGTTTCTGAAAAACTCCATCCTGCTTCAAACGTTCGGCATGATCACGCCGCACGCGTGCCAGGAAGCGGAGCATGTGGTTATTCCGCCGTTCATCTCGCCGAAAACCGGCCGCTGGCCGTCCCCTGAGACAACAAATCGTGACATCTTTGTCTTCTTTCGTGGCAAAATGGAGGTCCACCCGAAGAACATCAGCGGCCGTTTCTATAGCCGGTAAACAGTTCTCCACCTCATAAAAAACCGATCTTTTCATATAATTATATCTAATTACTACGGTGTATCAACACAGCAAGTTACGAACGGAGATCTGGAACAGATACAACGGAAATCGGCGGTTCTATCTCCGGCGCCACCGCTACGACGGTTACCAATCGGAGATTGCGCGTTCAGTTTTCTGTTTATGCCCGCTTGGCTGGGCTCCATGGAGTCCACGGATCGTGGAATCCGTAGCGCTCGGCTGCGTTCCGGTGATCATCGCCGACGGGATCCGTCTTCCGTTCCCGGAGGTTGTGCGGTGGCCGGAGATCTCTGTGACGGTTGCCGAGCGTGACGTGGGAAGCCTCGAGAGCATACTGGACCGCATCGCCGCCACCAAGCTTCCGGCGATTCAGCGCCGGCTATGGGATCCGGCTATCCGGCGAGCTCTGCTTTTTAACGGTCATGGAATCGTTGAAGGTGATGCTTCGTGGAACGTTCTACGAGCTTAGCTAAGCTCCGGGGGGCGTCTTGGAGGCGGCGGCAGCGGCGGCGGCGGCCGGCGCGGTCTGGAGAGGCGGATCTGGATTCGGGTGTTCGGTGGGCGTGAGTGCTTTGGGTGCCCTGGTAGTGGGAATTGGGCTAGTGTGGAGGTGGACTCACGTGATCACCTGCTCTATTATATTGTAATTATTATTTTAAATTCTTTTCAAAAAAAAAGATGTTGACAGTGCTGATATCTTGGAGAGCGCGTCTGATGAGTTGGCAGAGCGGGATAGGTTGAATATATATTAATTTTGCCCGTATGAAACTGTTTCTTTTTAATATGGAAATAAATATTTTTAATTTATTTGAGTAGGACTTATTTTAGTAAAATGTTTTTAATATGGAAATAAATATTTTTAATTTATTTGAAAGTTAGGATAATTACCTACTAAATATAACCACAGAGCTAGGTAGATCGAGCTGATTTTATTAGGCTAAAATCAATTAAGTTTAGCGAGTCGAGCCAGTTAACTGTCAAATAACAATCCAAAACATACAGAATATTGGGAATACCATAACACAGATTCTATTAAAGTAAAAATAAATATAACATCATCATGTTGTATCATCTCATCTATCAATAAAAAAATAATTTCATGAATAAGACACCATATTTATTAATCATTATCGTTCATTACTATTTCTCTCTCCTATTGCTTATGTTTTTATTCATACTGTTGAATCCAAAATTGTCATGCGGTTACACCAAAGGAAAAGAGTGTTGAACAGAAGAGGGAGGTAGAGAGAAGACGATAGTGAACAGTAGAAAGCCCGTAAAGTTTGTTCGAAAAATGAACGCCTATTTATAGGCATAGGGGGTACAAACTTAATATTGCATTTACTCCCCTTCTTTATCAGAGTGGTAGCAGGAGTTATTTTATTATTTTACATAGCCGGTGAGTTTTTCCCGATTGACACGTTGTTACTGATTGAGTTGCCTTAGATCGATTTATTCGATTGTAGTTTTCTTGAGTGGAAGCCAAAGGGTGAATGATCTGGTTGCTCCCGGGTCAGATCACATGGATTCCCTCATTATCGATGTTAACCAAACGACTGATCCTTCCCTTCGCTGTTGAATTTTTTTGAGGTTTGTGCTGCTGTATTTTTTATATAGATATTTAATTCTCCGTTTTCCTTCTTTTCAAAGCTATGTTGTGAAAAGAACATGTTGATCTTTTCATAATACAAAAATACACGAGAATAAAATCTAATTTATGATGATATAATTTCATAACAAATGACTTCTCTATATTTTTTTGTTTAAGGATGTTATAAATAGACCGCAAAAGGTTTAAAAGAGCGTGTCATCTTACTTTCTTTCTCTCCCTATGTGGTACTTCCTTTTTATGTGGGACTTCTACAATGGCGGGTGAAAAGGGTGCCCGGATCAACATCTCATGACAGGGGCATGTTAATTAGAGCCGTCTGGGGTATGAGAGCTTAGGCCCGGAAGGAAGGGAATGTGAAGAAAAGATCGACAAATGAGAAGCTTGCTGGAGAGATAAACTAAGAAGAGTGTTAAAGAAAAAGAAAGTTATTGACCAGGAAGATCATATGGAATCCTTACTGTCAAAGCACCCATCCAACTTGTATCCAAAGAGCTGAAACCCTTGATCGCCAAGGTTAAATAGACAACCTAAAGTGACTTGTTGCCCAAATTACCAGGAGGGGAACTTCACCCTCCGGTCGAGGGAAATGATATAACTGATGAGGGTAAAGTGACTTTCGATACATTTGAGTGGAATCGAATTGAGGGACAGGGTTTCACTTCTATCTTTAATCTAAGTTTTCTCTTTTATGATTGAATTTCAGTACTTATTCGACAGGAGATGTCAAAGCCATGGATCAGATATCGACCAATGATGATAAGCTCCTTTGAGAGGAGCAAAAGTCAGATCACCAGGGTGGTCCTATTTGGACTCGCGAGGAGGCGGCCATAGAACTTCAAATGTATTTGGTTCTTTTGTTCACTGCCTCAGTGAGATTGAGGAATTCTTTGCTCAAATTGTGTTGCATCTCAAAGGAGGCGAGGTCCATGGCTAGCTATCTAAATGAAGAGGATAGATCAAATAGAAGTGGAGGCGGCTGCCTTGCTTGGAGAGTTTGTTGCTTTTCATGGGGAGACAACCGCCTTCCTGGAAGAGATGGTGCACCTCTACTTGGAACTATTGGTGATTCGAGAAGCCTCCTCTTTCTCTTATGTTCAATTAGAGATGAAGTGAGTCGATCATTTTAAGTTGGGGTGAGGTTCTATACAAGAGGTTGCTTCCATTGAGGGTTTGTCTCAAATGAAGCTTAGATATCCCACCAATTTTATAGTCACATCACCATGTCTCACGTTAGCAAAAGGGGGTTTTGTATTCTCCCTCTTATTTTGAGATATACCTTTCTTTATCTTTCCTTTGAGTCTTTCGTCGTCCCTCCGTCATCTCCTCATGACGGGTCCATTACACAAGTAGTATGAGACTATCGACAAAAAAAGTTGTAAAAAATATCAGAGCAGTGGCAATAATCTCACTAATATTAAGGGAAGCTAATGGTAGGGGTCATGTGCCATAAAATTTGTTGTCGATGTCTTTGGTAGTAGTAATTGGAAAGCGACGGTGATCTAACAAAGTTAGTGACTTACTGACTTCTTGATGATGATAGTTAGGTGGTGGTGGTTCGGTGATAGCAGTGGCTCGATGAAGCTGGTGGCCAGATGGAGGTGGTTAAAAAGTGGTAATGGTGATATGACAATATCAACTGCTCAATGGTGATGGCCAGGCCTCAGCTATTTTGCAATGGCGATGGTCAGTTGGTTGTGGCATGGAAGTGGTGATCGTGGTCCAACGGTTGTGGTGTTTGGGCAGCGACGATTTAACAGTGGAAGCAACCAGTTTGTGGTAGCCTAAAAATTGTGATGGTGGTCTGCAGTGGTGGTGGCCCGATGGCTATGGTTAGACAATGGTGGTCTAACAATGGCGGCAACCAATCAATGGTGGCCAAGAAGTTGTGACGGCTGCAGAAGCAGGATAGCGACGTTTCGACGGTGGCACCGGTCAGTCGGTGACTGTTTAGTGATGTTGAAGTTTAGAACCCTCAAGAGCTTGGAGCTCCTTCACCTTTCTCCTTTTGGTTTAAGTCCTAAGTTCCATCTCATGCAAGTGTGAGGTCTATTTGTAGATTTTGCGAGTGACGCCATCTATAAATACCGCATGAGTCTAGACAATTTTATCATACAACCCTAAGTGATCTCTTCGATCAGATGGTGCTTTGATACCAAAAATCTTTTGTATCATTATTAAAAATTGATAAATAAACTAAGCAAAAAATCAACACTAAAATTACCAAGAATATCAATAAATATTGAATAAATTCCAATACAAACTAGATCCCAAAATCAAATCATAGTGGGTGCACTGATATATTATAGCAACATCCATTATACTCTCTCATTATCAACAAAATGTTGTCCTCAACATTCAAAATAACTAGCAACTAAACAAATATGGATAAACTGCATCGTCTACAAATAATTCATATGACTCTCGTTATAAATTAATTTATTCAAAACCTAGCTCTCATACAAAAAATAAGTTACGACCCAACTTGATGCAACCCGTCAAATCAAGGCAAGCCACACATTTTTTTAATTTTCATAAAAATAGAGCACAAATATTATCAAAGTATTATATGACAAAAAACCCAAAATTTATTTGGATTATATCACACCCACACACACACACACACACGCACACATGCACTTTGGATTATATCACACCCACACCCACACACACACACACACACGCACACATGCACACACACACATACATACGTACATACAAACATACATACATACATAAAACACTCATTATATAATATCTCTATTATCAAAATACAAACATCACAAAAACAATAAAAAATATAGATATAAGGTAATAACATATTTGTATTAGGTTCTCAATAGTAACCAATAGTTTATACTCAACTTGAGTCTTACCCCCTTCCTTAAAACAACAAATGCGAGTAAAGCAGAGTGGACAACTAAAGCTCAGCCGACCACTCAAAATTTACTTCATTTTTCAATGTAAAAATTAGGCATTTATTCGAAGTAAATAAATCAAACATAGTTGAAGATCATGTATAGCATCCATCACAAAGTGAATACAAGAAATTGTAACTTTAGTAAGCATATGTCGAGTAGCAATATAAGTAGCATAATATCAAAAATATAGTAAAAGAACATTAAGAAAATTTTATTTCCTTATTTGACTTATTTTATTATTTTTCCTTTCCCTCTTATGCCTTCACTTCAGCTTATACTTTGAATTGTTCATATTTATCTTATGCCTTTCATAACACTACTTTCACTTATACCTTCACCAGTTCATAACTTTTTAGGCGTATCAAACATAAAGATGAATAATTACATAGATTCATAAACTCTTATAATTCTACTTAATTGCACATAATATATAACCACCCAGCCACAACCACTACCATTTTTCCTATTGTTAGCATTTTTTCACATTTTTTTTATACAAAATCATATAAATGTTAACAAATTTGATATATACCAAAATCATAATATGTTGTAAAAATTGATACAAAACAGCAGGCACAACTGATAACAAAATTTGTGGGAAAAATCATCGTTACATCAAAAGGCGCTTTGATGTCAAAGAGTTTAACTTTAATCTACTTAACAAGTTTCAAAATCTCCACCACTTAAGTAGTTGACCACCTCATCAATTTTCAACACCTAGAATTATCCACCTTATATATAGGAGGCAGCCCCTACAAATTCAAGTGGTGGCTCCCACCATGCAGCACTTTGTATCATTCTAGGTTTAAGGTGTGACTCCCATGACATGCCACTTTGTTTTATATAAAACTTAGTTTCCATATTTCAGTTGGTGAAATGCTTGAATATGATTTGTGGCAGTCGAAACTCTCACTCATCGAGTTATTGCCCATTTTGGCCTAATGGCCTCCCGATTTGCCCCATTATTGTAAATTCTAGGGAGATCACCCATCATAAGACTGATATAGGATGAGCACACTCAACTTTGGAGCTTCTAATGAAGTTACACTTTTGTGCCAAAAGGCACCTTGATGTCTAAGAATTTAACTTCAATCTACTTAAGTCGTTTCATTCAATGCACCTTCACTAATAGAATGATGTTTTTGAAAATGAAAGGAGTAAATATCGGATGCCCCTGGTCCATAGGTTATTTTTTGGAATGACACACATTGAAGTGGAGGCTTCTTTATTGAGAGTATTATTTTTGTTAGACATTAAACCGATGTTTGTAGAGTTTGTAAATGTGGAATTTTTTTCCTTAAGTGGTGCTAAACTATTATGCATAAGGAATTTCATGAATGTAGATTAAATGTTGCTTTTATCCTAGTTTTATATGAACATCTCACACACATATAAATTAAAAGAGAAAAAAACTATAGCACATAACACAATCAAAGTAATTTGCTATTCGTGTGTAATTACGAAGATATACCCTTGTCCCACAATTAGGAAAAAAATGTTACAATGCTACGCCAATTAAAACACTTATCCGCACACAATATACTAAAAACTTTAGGAGTCAAAAAAAAGTTACCATATTATGAGGACGATGTTTGCAAGTAATTGTCGTATGAAGTTATAATTGGATCTTTAATGCAACGTTATATGTCATTGTATGTGATATAACTTTTTTTCATCGTATATTATGATACTTTGTTATACAATATTCGTGGATATATCGTTATACAACAAACTTCATCGACAGAGGTAAGCAACGAGCGACCGTCGGTGATCAACGACAACCAACAAACGTCGGTCGTGGGGCTACTGAGGCTGATAATTATCGTCGGGTCCTTAGTCCAAAACAAGATTGATATTTTACTCATCTTCATCCAAATCAAGAGATGAGGTCTATTTATAGGCTATAGGAATGACATTTTTGTAATTTAGTGAATAACTTTCATAACCACATGATCTAACGAACCACGTTAATCCCAATTGAAAATATGAATTTTTTTTAATGGTTTTACGACTCTAATGACCTCATAATAAAGAGAGCTTAGACTCGTTGGATTTCCCTCATTGATACACTCGATTTGACTGTAAGTAGGTAAAATTTAGCGTTCATTTGACTATTTAATTGTTGACAAACTTCCAAATATTCTTTAATGGATTGATCTGAATCTGTTTGGACTTGCTTTAGAGCAATTGTGGTATCTTCGAGTTCATATTGTCTAAATGGTGAATTTAACCATAAACTTGCTGAAATCGGAGCTCTTGACAAGGTGAAACCATCCACTTTTTTTGAGGGGGAGGGTGCAAATTACCCTTCTAAACCCAACATGGGAGTGACTAAGACAACAAAATACAAAGGGTCTATTTGGGGCAGTTGCAGTTTGTTGAATGATTTGCTGATAAGTTGATTAAAAATAATTTGCTGATAAGTTATGTGCGTTGGCTATTACAAATTTTTTTTTTTTGAAAAGCTAGACCGCTGTCATAAAGCTGCCACCGCACCTAGATAGTTGCTGCGTGAAAATGTTGTTTTTCAAAACACATAAGCTACAAAAACGTAGTTTACCCAAAGAGTAAGCTGCCCCAAATAGACACAAAATGATATTTTAAGAGAGACAAAATTGAGATTTCAGGAGGGGCCCTGGTTGATCTTTAATTTGAATAAAAAACTTTTTTGGTTTAAAAAATGCATTCAGATTTATGTTAAATGATAAAATTAACTATTGACAGATCAAAGATTAATGTAATTTTAATTGATCACTGGCATGGTGGTACTAATAATTTTAAATATGAGCTAAATTTGCACAAGTAAAATTTCAAACGAGCAAAATACTATTGAACTCCCTCATATTGGACCGTCAACAATACCGAAAGACCAATATATGTTAAAATAAAAGAATAATTACATATATAATATTCGAAATAATGCTCTTTAAAAAATACAATACTAATGTGATATTTTTGAACTATCGAACCGATGCATTTATATGTGCCACAATCAAACCATTTAGAACTTGATAAAAACAACAAATATGACTTGAAGTTTTAACATGAATTTTGATATTTTAGCAAGAATTTAAAAAATGTATGAACTAGAGCACTAGATTGATAAATAACAATTTTTGGGTGCTATACATGGAAACAGCCCTAAAAAACTAGCGTGTGCTGGACTGAATCGACACTCGATGATGAATCAGAAGAGTCTCCCAGATTCTAACGCTGAAACCCCTTAAGGCGCGGCGCGAGGCTACCGCCGTCCGGCGGCGTGCTTTTGCAAGGCGGCAATTATGCGGTCTTTGGTCTTCAGGGCAGCCAGATTCTGATACAATTCTAGCTGTAGAAAAGCTTAATGCGTTGAGGAGGGAGGTCGGGAGGGCTTTCAAAGAAACGGGCGGTGGTGGTGATCATTCCTTTTGCAGGTAGAATTCATATTTTTGGTTTTTAAAAGCATCGAACTTACTTGACCGATTTGAGTTTGCATGAAAAAACCCCGAAGAAGTATAGTTTCTGGAAATCTCATAATTTACATGTCTAGTGCATGCTATCGGAATTAAAGTAACGCTTTGTTGGGTAACCGGATACTCATTGCAAAACAACAGAGTTCTGCATCATGTCTTCTTGCTGATCTCGAGTTTTGTGTTTATGGGTGTGGCAGCCCAAACTCTCATCCATCACGTTCTGTATGACACTTAGTTCATATTTTCCGAGCTCTAATATCATTTGTGGCAACGAACTCTCACCATCAAGGTATTCTCTGCTTTGGCCTAGTGGCCTTACGATTTTGCCCGTTGGTGTAACTTCCTAGGAGTTCACCCATCTCACGAGTGCTCACATGCAAACACGCTTAACTTTGGAGTTTTTAATGAAACTTTATTGTTATGCCAAAAGGCTCCTCGATGTTTAAGAGTTCTTTTTCATTCTAATTAAGGGGTTTTTACAATGGGCGACTTTTCTAAATATTCTGGATGCTTCCTTGTTCCTGAGCGGGGGAATACTGAATGATGTTTGGTTTGTGATAGCAATTTCATATCTTTTGATTAATGAAGTTTTTTTTAAGTGTGGGTTTTTTGCTTTTTTGTAATCTATCTTTATTGCATGTTAAATTTCTTATTCTGAGAATGCTTTTTTTCGGTACCTTGATAATGCTGCGTGAGGAGTAATAAGTTATTGAAATCAAGAATCTGATCTGTGCCCAATGATGCAACCATTTCATAAAATATGATGGCAGGCCTTATAAGTGGTTAATTCCTGCCTTACATTTTTGATTTGAGATTGTTCATGACTGAGTTATTATTAAGGGGCATTCACATCCATACCACACAATTCTTATGTATTTACATATCTAACACCCAAAGTTTAATATTTACATACATACTACTTAAATCTTTAACATTTCATTAAAAATACCACTTTACTACCCTTCAAAAAATAAAATACACCTTTTGATGCATTGTTATATGAAACCAGGGTATTATGTATGTAAATGTCAAACTTTGAGTATTAGATATGTAAATACATAATAATTGTGTGGTATGTATGTACATTTTTCTGTTATTAAAATTTGAAATTTGTTACACGTTATAATATTCCATTGTTGTCTGTTAGAGACCCACAATACAATACTTTCGGATCTCTCTGTTGTTTGGTACTCATGGCTTTTATAGCCCATCTAATGTACACATAAATCCCCTTCTCAAGCTATCGATTTTGAATTTTCCCTGATTTCATATTTACACTCTTTAGAATAGAGTCATCTTTTATCAACCTAATTAAGTTTACTGTCGTTTTTAGATATCTTTGAGCGAGGACATTGAGTTGAGTAGTCTTTTGAACAGTTCATGAAATTGAAGACCACGATTTAAAGATGCTAGTCTCGATGAATCCATTGCTATGATTTGAAGGTTTGGAGATCAAGTGTTAGGAGGTCATGATCATTGGACATGACGGCAAGTTATGTGGAGTGACGCCTTATGAAGCACCCGAGTTAATTTATGAGGATCTTCAAGACGTCTGGTTCGCCAAATCATTTGGGTTGACTAAAATTGATTATGTTCTAATGATCCTACAAGGTTTTAAGACGTAGATTGGGTGATAGCGAGGGAACACAATTACGCGACTTCGAAGACATTTGGAGGGGTATGAGGCTTTTGATGGCTGAAATCTGTTGCTGGACAACAAGAGTGAACAATTTAACAGCTATCTGGACTGAAAACAACAGTCATATTGTGAAACACTGAGGTGAGAATGGCGAGGGGATCTTCCACCTCTTTCTGGGCAAGCTACATACACACCAATTGTAACAGGAAGTTGATACATCACTATGGAGAGAAGAAAATACGAGAATAAACTCTCAAAGTACATAAAATCAAGCTAATAGTTAAAACAAGCCAAAATAACCTCTATATAAAAGTTCCCTAATAGAAATTTCCCTAATTAGAAATAAAGAAATAGGAAGAAAAACAAAAAAAAAAGCTAAGAAATTTTGCTAAAATTGAAATGTGGAGTGTAACCTTGGCAGAAAGACATCTCTCAATCACGAGATGTTCCACGATCACGTGGATTCACACAAATGCAGGAGTTCGTGTACGGGGTGGGGGGTGTGTTGGGGCGGCAAACTAAGAAGGTTTTTATGGTGCTAATCATTTTTTTGTTACTTATTAGTTAGGCTTTTTTTTGTAATTAGGATTTGTCCTTTATTTATTCTAGATTGTCTTGTTATTATTACATTTTATTTGAATCATTGTTAGGATATTTTTTAAAATATTCTGTTTGACAATTGAACATATTTGATTACATAATCCATAACACTTTTTGAAAATAGAAGATAATTATATATATTTCATTAGAGAAAACTAAATAAATTTGTTTGTATTACCTTTTCTATCCAAGATTATTCCAACTACTTTTCTCTTTCGGTGAACCAACACTGACAGAATTCCACGATCTTCTAGAAGCAAAGAAAGCCAATTCCTAGCCTAAAATTCATTTCTAACCCTAACCAAAGCTACTGAAATTAGTATCTCACTCCTCTCGTTTGCAAGATACAACCGCCTTTAGCGCTCTAAACTTGTAAAGAAAGCCCTTAACCTTTATTCCTTTGGTTGGGTGAAAATAAAATTATTTCCAGCTCCTCAGGCCTGTTCTTGTATGTTACTCATCTCTATTTAAGAAGCCCAAGCTTTCTCTCTAATTCTTTCAATACTTGACCTTCCAAACAAGGCCAAGCACACAACTTTGATTAAACCCCATATTGTTAATTGCTGCCAAATATGAATTCTTAGGTTTAAAATCTTACTCAATTAAGCCTATCTCAGCTACACCAAAAATTTTTAACATCCTTCACCTACATTTTAAAATTCATATTACCAACGTTTACATTTTTGTATAAAGGAGCCAAAACTCATCATTTTTCTCTTACAAATCTCTTTGTCTAGGTTTTTGTGAATGCAACTCATCATTTTAGTTTGTTTTGAGCGAAATTGTTTCAAAAGATGGGTCTCACTTGTGGGAATATCCAATAAATGAAGAAGAATCATGATGAAAAGCAGTAAGCAAGTGAAGGAACCATAGATCTTTAAGTTGAAGCAAGATAGATAAAAAAATATTGTCCATCAATGGTCTGTTGTGGCCTAAAGGAACCCGTAGGAATGCATAAAGAAGTTCAAGGATGAATTGTAAGTATCTAATGTAAGACAAACACTGTTGATGGCTTAAGTAGTGTTGGCTGATTTGTAACCTGAGGATCTCAATGAAAAAGACTGTAAACTTGGGATTGATTGATATTGGAATTAACCCAAACAACAATAAGCAAACACATACTATCACCGAAAAGCCAATAGGTGGTTATAACTAGCACACTGAAAGGAAAAATAACGAAAGACACGACACACAAAGTCACATTAGGGTTCGGTAAAGGGGTGGTGGTCTTGGTGGTCGGCTATAGGGCTTGGGAGGGTGGCAAGTGGCAGGAATGATGGTATGGGTGCTGGGATGAAGTATAATAGTGGTTGGAGCGGTTTACTGGGAGTGGCAGAGAGTAGGGGGCGGCTGGACAGCAGGAAAACAACAGGTTTGGTGTTTCTTGTATGGTGGCAGTGAGGAACGACAATTGGGAGTGATGCGGGAAGGTTAGAGAAGGGTGGAGGCTGCAGGAAACATTGTAAGGGGTGCCTGACATATAGCAGGACAACAATGGAACAACAACGAGACACTATTCTGTGCGGTTGTAACAAGGAGGGCAGAGGGGGTTGGCTGGACATCATGAATTGCAGAAAACAACAAAAGGAGGTTGTTCCAGGCGGCTACAACAAGGGGTGGCTAGGAGTGATGAGGTTGATGCGGTGCAAGGAAAGTTAGAGATAAATATCACCTCGGGAGTGAGATATAACTGGAGTGCCACTCGACCTTGGAAACTAATCACCACTTTGGAATGAGATACAATCAGAGCACCACTCATTGACGCGGTAGTGGGAGACAACGCGAGAGCAGGAGACGACGCAGGAGTGAGAGACTGACACATCAACAAACAATTAACATGGAGACGGGTGTTGTTGCTGTTTAGCGGCTCAGACCGGTTTGATCCAACATTTGTGAGAGCCATTTGACTCTTCCTATGAGAGAACCACCTCCTTCAAGTAGAAGGCCCACTCTTATTTATATTATTATTTATAAATTTGTTTTTGTGAGAGTTTAGGGTTAGTTTTGCATATGTTTCTGTTTGGGACAGTCGTCGACTGCTGGTGTTCCTCGTTTAGGGCTGTATCTGAAGGTGAGAAGGTACTCCGGTTGTAACTCGTTTGAGGTGGTGACATTCTCTAAGTGTTCAAGTGGTTCTTAGGCTTTAGCTTGATCTCGCAGGGATATTTATCCTTACTCAACTCTTCTACCTATAACCGAAGCACCATTTAAGCCTTGGGAGACAGTCACCACATCGGACAAGTTACAACTAGAACACATCCTCACCTTCGGATACAAACTTAATAGGGAAACATCGGAAGCTGACAGTTGTCTTGAACAAAAATACACGAAAAATAAGCATAGAAATAAAAAAAAAATATAGTCTTAGAGTAAAGAGCGGGCCTCGCTCCAAATAGTATGAACTCCAAGCTTGGAAGGATCAATCAATCCCTCCTTGACCTAAACTCTATGGTGTTTGGGGCGAGATGTTCCGAGTCATTTTCTCAAGGTTAGGGGAGCTTCGACCCCATTTGTCGATGCTTTTATCTCAATGTAATTTGACGTCAGGCCGGCTTCGTTGAAGGTGGCAGAGTTGCTGTGACCTCTCGGGATTGAATGCTCTTCGACTACTACTCAAGAAGCACCCGAATCCTACCATCAACTGCACTTCCTTTCAAGACACTTGAGGAGCTTTCCCCATTTGAGAGCAGTGATCCATATCGATCCATTCTTCCGAGAGCCGACTATTGAACCAAATTGGGTGGATGTGTCACATATATACAGTTGGGTTCTTCCAAAATAACCCAATGTTGGATCAATCCGCTCTAAAGTGAGGGTAGCCTGAATCTCCTTGAATGGTGGCCGCCATGGCAGTAAGCTATCGAGCATGTTGTCCTGAAAATCTTTCTTTAATGGCTGTCTTGTTTCTGAAACTTGCTCTTTGTCGGCGTTTAAAAAGGGGGGAGTTACG